CGCCAACACGTGCTTGCTCATATGCCGAAGACTCCGTTCTGCTCGACGCGCCAGCGGGCAAAGACACTGAGGACGCAACAACGGCACAAAAAAGAGTAAGGCTTGCTAGCAGATACGACCACATTCGGAGCCGAAGCAGTTTGGGGGGCTGTCCACCATGGACCACTGGTTCGCGGCTGATGAGCTCTCGAGGGGGCTATGCGGGGAAACTTCTCGCGCGACACTTCGCGACCAGTGCGCCGGCTTCCTGGCCAGCCAGAGCACCCATGATAAGTCGGTGGATCACGCGGCGATATCCTTGTGAACTTAACGGCGCCCGCCGAGAAGCTGGAATGCATATGTGCGGACGCGGCTCCTGAGTTGAAAAGGGGCATGCAAGTCGCTGAACGCGCACCCCTTGAGTGAGTCCATGGCGGCTCACGACTCCACGCAGACCGCGAACAAGAAGCATAACTCAGTCGGTGAGAGGGCGAACGCCACTGTCCAGAACGGGGCGAGAACTCTCTTCATAAAGGCGGGGCGTCCTGCCCCGCACTGGGTGCTTGCTCCACCTTCCTTTTGCTTGCGTCATAGTGCACAGGAAAAATTCGCTGGTGGATCGGCCTCGAACTTAGAGATGGCATTTCATTTGGCGGCCCCCTGGCGCTGTTCGGCTCTGCCGCGAGGCGCCCCCCACCCCCCGGGCCCCGCGCTAAGCGGCCCAAGGCGGGCCCTCGGACAAGAGTGGGCATTTACTTGGGGTGCTTTCGCCGCGCGGGGGTGCGGGGGGGGCCCGACCAGCACGCCTCTTGAACAGCTTAATGGGCTAAATTTCGAGAGGATTGAAGAAAGACGGGCGAAGGCCAATTGTGGGAAGATCGGAACATATCTAGACCGACATCGGCGTCGAGGCGGTCGTCGAGACGGGCCCTAGACGGCGCGGTGGACAACGAGCTTCCGGGGGCCGCCGTTCATTTCCGGCTGCGAAAGGCCGGCGACCTTGCGTTTACGTCGACGCCGTCGGTCGACTTGGGGGATCTGTTGTCTGGAAAAGGTGTTTTTGAAGGCAAGCAAAAGAAGCCCCAGGACGGCGGTCAGTCGCCCGGGGGGGGGGGGGGGGGCGCGCGTCGTCAAGCGGACCAGCTGGAAGCAAGGCTGTGGTTGAGATACCTTCGCCTCCCGCCCGTGACTCAGGGGGCAGGAGAGGCGGCCGTGGACGATGCCGGGGAGGGCCCGACGGAAGACGAATGCCCCTCCGGCCCCGCTCCTGCCCCGCGCATCCGCTTGTGGGGGCCAAGCGGAGAGCTGCGCATCACACTAGCGCTATGGGGGGCTCGTTGGCAGAGAGAGGTCAGAATTGCGAGACAATCACATTCTCAGGCGGCACCGGAGGGGGGCGAACCGAAGTTCGAGCAGATCATGGCACGAACCACTCCGAACCTGCAGACGGGCGAATACTTCGAGCGCGTTACTGCCGGAAAGACGCGCGAAGAGCCAAGCAGGCCCCTGCCGCTGACGGGGAGGACCAAGGAGGCGCAGATACGCGCTGTGTTTTATGTCGACCCGCGGCATCGGGCTCCAGATACGGTGGAGACGGAAGACCCAGAGCACGGAAGGCTTGGTTGAGGACAACGCAGAAAGACTCGACGAACCCAGGTAGTCATCCAGCACGGTGGCGGAAGATGGGAGGCCCGGCGAGGGCAACGGCGATGGCCGAGTTCAAAGCAGAGGGAAAGGGATTCTACGGACTCGAGGATCCAGGCCCAAATGCCGACTTGCTTCAGGAAATCGGCATCACGATTCCTCGACCCCTGGTTCAGTACGTCATGTCAGCCGTGGGCGAAGAACTCTCATCGACCGCTGCGTCACATGGCTATGCCAGTGGCGTTACAGAAGAAGAGAATAAACATAATGGCCGTGAAGGAGTGACGGGCGTGGACGATGCCAGCGGCACCGACTCTGGTACTGATGCTGCTGGGAACGCCACTGGCTTGACTTGTGCGGCAGCCGCCGGAAAGCGCTGCGCACCTCGCATGCCCTCGAGGTTGCAGGATGCGAGCAGTTTTCAGCACCGAGAGAAGGAAACGGGGGCACGACCATGCTGTAACCATTTCACGGACAATTGCGATCGAAGTGACAGTTCAAATTATTCGTCGTTCCATCTCAGTGGGTTGTGGACATGTCCAGCGCTGCCTGCGTGGCTAGGCCGACAACGAAGTCCGAGGCGGCGAATAGTGAAGGGGTGACCGTGGCCTTGAAGTAGGAATGGGACGGCATGCGCGAAATCAACGCGCGGGGCGAGAGCAAGGTCATGGAGCTAAGCCAAGTGCGTAGGCAGATGGGAGGCCAAACGCTCCAGATTGGCAGACTATTTGCTAGCCCTGTCGAGAAGAATGCGGAACTACCTGAGGGACATAAAGACAGACAGTTCAAGGGACGCGTTGCTTTTGATGGATCTGATGTCATCGATCAAGACAAGAACGTGGCACTATGTAATAGCTCTCATCTTGCCCTGCAACCATGCAGGCGAGTACGGCCGCACATACCTTCGGTCTCTTCACAGGTCATGAGATACAACAGGCTGATGCACGTCAGGCGCATACTCAGTCGTCGTTGGGAGGAACGTCAAATTGGGTAAGATTACCCATGGAGGCATGGCCCGAGAGTTGGGTAGGTATGCGTGACCCGGCATGCCCTTTACGACTAGTGGTATTTGGTCATCCAGACGCTGGAGGCCACTGGGGCAAGCACTGCGAGGCCCGCGTGATTTCTGAGGGCTTTGAACCCATCCCGTCTTGGCGCAGTTGCTATGCTCACCCGGAGTTAGTTCTCTTCTTGATAGCGTACGTAGACGACTTCCAGTTGGCCGGGTCAGCCGCCAACCAACCGAAATGATGGGACTTCATATTGAGTCCTTCTGAGACCGCACCCAAGGGAATTGATATGAACCCACCTACTCCCAGCCGTCCAGATAGCGGAGCACAAGTGTTGCGTTCAGCGCACGCGTGGGGTTGCACCTTGTTCAATTGTACGTTGCCCAGAACGCGCCTTCCAAGACAACGACGGGCACTGCGCGCGTTGTGATTGTGAGCCCGTCGCCTCAGGCACGATTTGCGCCACCGATTCTTATCGCAATGTAGTGACCGACGAGCACTTGCGCACGCTGTTCTCAGAGCTCCACGGGCTCGCCGCCATGTCCAACTTTTTCCTGCCGGAACAGAATGCTTCCTGGAGATTTGACGCGCTTCCGCTGCCAGAAGGCGCCAGCAACACAAATCCAACACGCACCTACGTCGTTTCCACATCAGAGTTGCTCTAACACAGTACAGGTAACCGGCCTGCCCCCAGTCACGACATAACTCTGATACCAATGTTGAATTGCACGTGGTCCTCTTTGCCGTGCTGCAGTCCTCGGTTGCACTCGCAGAGATGGCAGCGAATGAGTTACTTACTACTGCCGCCCTTTTCGCGCGCGTGGACGCCCGCGTAAAACTCGGGGATGCGCCAGGCGCGCTATGGGCGCCAACGCAACGCTTAAACATTGCGAACGACACCGATGCGTAACCAGGGGCTGCAAAAGGCGCGTCAACGACAATACGCTGCAGCGCGCAGTTCACGCGGCGCGAGAAGCCCCAGCCCCTCGCACCAAGCGCAAACGCAGTTCGCAACGGAAGGAATCATCCATGCGAGCGCGACTGGCAGCTCGCGCGCAGGCATTGGTCTTGCGCGAGCGGCTTCCAAGGCAATGCGCCGCGCTATGGTGCGCGACGCGCGCGAGCTTCACCGGGCAACGCAGAGGTGCGCCTCGCTGGTTTTGCAAACATCACGCACCCTGGCTTCCACGCGACGGATCTGGGGGACCGTTCCCCGACGCTCGGGGCGCTGGGCAGCGGGATCTTTCTCGAGGACGATTGCGACCCTGGCGGTGCATCGAAGGCAACCCTACCCAAGTCTGGTAAGATGGATCACCGCTGCGCCCATTGTCGGGCGCTCTTCTCCAACATAGAAGGCGTTCGAAAGGGGGCCCACAGCTTTTTCGCCAAAGGCTGCAATAACGGGGCCTTCCGCTTCACGCTTGCACTGCCGCCAGCGCCGGCGACGCTCGGTTCGATAATCGCAGGCGTACCAGCATTGACTCAAACGTTGACCCACCGCCCGTCCTCACACAGGCTGGAGCGGCCACTGTGGACGAGAGCACCCACCGCGAGTGCAAGTTCAGATGTCAGGACCTCGCTCAAAACATTCGGTATCGAAATTATGCTTGAGGCTTCGCGTCTTCCGTCGACGGTTGCAGCCGCGCCCGTTCACCTGCCATTTCGCCAGCGCTTGGCGCGCATGCGTCGTGCACGCACATCATGCGCGGCCGATCGCGCCACGTAGCTGGTCTGCTCCACCCCGCTCAATCTGGCAGGCCCGCGCATGCTCAACTGTGCATCTACGACCCCGAGGAAGCCGCGTCAATAAGACATAGGTCTTTTTCAAGCCTCAGCCGAGACATTCTGCAGGACTTGCATAACGTGCTCGCGCAACCGTGCGTCCATCGCGACATACGGACGGGCGCGCCAGACCTGACAGCTTCCCAGGCCCCATTGAACCCATATTCGGTGTTTTTGAGAAAAAAACAAAAAAAACGATGATTGCGCGCGAAGGGAACTTACCAAAACACCAGGCGCCGTTGAGCCCCTGCACGCTTCGCGCTTCGCCGGCGGCGCCGATCGGGACCCCCGCGCACGCGACAAGCTGTCATCCTCAGAAGTGTTTTGCGCAGTGGTCGGAAATAGACCGCCCCCGCCACACTTCAGTATTATCTTCGCAAGAGCAGATTCCGCGGGCGGAGCGGGAACCCGTGAGGCGAGCCTCCTCCTCCTCCTCCTTCCTCCTCCTCCTCCTCCTCCTCGTTCTCCTCCTCGTTCTCCTCGTTCTCCTCCTCCTCCTCCTCCTCCTCCTCCTCCTCCTCCCTTCCTCCTCCTCCTCCTCCCCCTCCCCACGGCGAGGGGGCACCTCCCTGGCCTCTCGCCCAGGAGCCGCAGCGGCCGCGGGGAGCGGGGGCACTCGCGGAAGGGCCACGGCAAGGGCAAGGCCGACGGGCTTGAAGGGAAATGTAGGGGCCGTTCCGATTACGGTGCGGCAGATATCCGACGAAGGTGTCGCGGCTGGAAGGTTCGAGGTTCGAAGTTTTCGGACGTTTTCGATTGCTCGTGACAGTTGTCCAGCCTTGGGCCGGGGGGACCAGAATCTGTCCCATTCCCACGCCTCAACTTCCTGAGTCCTTCCCAGCCTCCCTTCCCGTGGAGCGGAGCGACACGCTATCCGCTCGCAGGGCATAGCGTGTCGCCAGGCCGCCGCCGCAATACGCAAAGCAAAAGTTCTCGACCCGAAGATTCGGCAGATCTCCGACGATACGATGTTATGAAGTCTGGGCGTTTGTCTGGCCCTTGGAGTATGCCAGCCAGGTCCCGTCTGGCTGCGCTTGGCCCCCCACTTGCCCAACGATGGCGCGGGAGCGCCAACCCGTCATTGTGGTGTGGCGTGCCCGCAGAGATTTTCCTCGAGTTCGGCTCCTGGGGGGCTGTATACCACTAAAGAAAGGCTCAGGACGAAAAACTAGCCCAAGAGAAAGGGTTGGGACTTCCTCTGGGCGCGCGGATTGGAAGGACCATGCTGTGGATTCGATTCCGGAGCTGGTCCAAAGAGTGGGCGGCGGGCGGGAGTTCGATTCCGGTTCGGTTCGATGCGCATTTTTCTTCCTCGTTCCGATCCGGTTTATTCGCCGACCCGGGCTGCGATCTGCGAAATTGTCGCCACTTTCGAGGGCTGCTGGTGGGTCCAGCGGAGTGAGGCACCGCGCAGATCTGAGCGGGACCTCGCCGTCCCTGGGGGGCTGCGATCTGCGAAACTGTCGCCACTTTCGCGAATTGTCGATCCGAGGGCATGGGCTTGCCGAGCTCGCAGGGCTCCATTCGGGGCGTTCCAGGGAGGGCCTCGCCTTCCGGTGCGTCGCGCCCTCGGCGGGAGCCTCCGGGAGCAAAGCGGCGGCGGGCCCGCGGGCAGAAGCCACAGCATCCGAGAGTTTGCGAAGCAGCAATCGAAAATCGTCGAAGAGGTCCGCAAACGACGAGAGAACTGGTGAAGGAATTTTCTCGAAATTTGCCGAGCATCATCGAACATCAACACAACAAGTATTGAGATTGGCCGAAGAGGAAGAAGCGGGCGGAGTTGCGTTCATGGCAAGAGAGCAACAATGAGGCAGGCGGAAGGTTGGCCGCTGCTTGTGAGTTGCTAAACCTGGCGGGGTCGGCCGCTCGGTTTGTCACTATGAGGGCCTCGCACGCGTGATGCGCTCTCGTGTGCACCATTCGCCCCTAGGGGAGTAGCAAGGCATGCGGCAGGCTGGCGGCTGTCGTTGAGCTGCTGAACCTGGCGGGGCATGTGCCTCGGTATAGGCCGACAGGAGGCCTCGCGCGTGTGATGCGCTGTCGGGTGCACCATTCGCCCTGGCTGGGCTCACGTGGGCCCTGGCTTGAGGAGGGAGGAGAGAGGGAGGCATCATCAGAGGGATGACGGGGGTGGTGCCTCTGTCCGGGGAGGGGCTACGGCGGCGGCAGCAGCAGCAATGCCAGATACCCTCACCCAAATTCAGAACCTATACTTGCCTGGCATCGTGTCCAATACTCCTCCGCCAAACGCGGGGTCGACCGTCAAGGGGGCCGCCTCTGCCAGGCGCTTTGGTCTATCTGCCGCAGGTGTTGCAACTCTGCGTTCCGTTGCAGCAAGACGAGTCCGCGCTATGCGCTCCCTGATAGCGTCTGCGAGGGGTACAGGAGAGGGTGGGGGAGGGGCAGTGAAGGCGGCCATCGCGATCCCAGACTGTTGTGAGAGACGTTCGAAATCTACTGCATCTAGACATTCCTGCTCCTCATGAGCCTCAGGGGCCCCACTGGGACGGGGCGTCGCAGTGGGGTCTGCTGCCGAGTTGGGTGGGATTTGGGATTCTGCAGCAGGTGCGGGAGTGTTCAAACAATTCAGCTCAAGGTCAGTCCGATTAGTGGTGTGGGATCTCGAAACGAAATCTGGAGCCCATCACTCATCCATACCATAGTATGGGCCCAAGGAAACAAAACAACGCAGCAACGCTGCACGTATGTCCTCGGGTTGTTTCAGATCCTCTGGGAAATCGTTTGGATTCGTCTGGCCCCACAATGTTAGTTTTGCCGCAGCTGTAGAGTCCGCCAAGCACTTGCACAACCGTGGTGGGTAGGTTTTCGTCTTGGCCGTCCTCCACTCCTTGCTTTTAGCATCGTAGCCCAGCAGTGTGCCGTGCCCCCTCCTGAAGTGCGAGCAGCGGCCAGCAACTAGACTGGAATGCAGGCCCAGCATTCTTGAGACAAGGATGCATGTGGGTGCTCGGGACGTCATGAGGAGGGAGGGAGGGAGTGAGCGAGGGAGGGAGGTGGACGACGACGACGACGATCGGCGGCGGCGGCGGCGGTATCGTCGTCCGGCCAGGGCGGCGGCGGCCGCGACCGCGACGGCATTCGCGCCTCGGACCGCGACCGCGACGTGCCACTGTGCATCCCCTACGTGATGAACCGGTGCGTCTGGGGCGACAGGCCGCGATCGGGAGAGGGGAGGGGGGAGGAGGAGGAGGAGGAGGAGGAGGAGGAGGAGGAGGAGGAGGAGGAGGAGGAGGAGGAGGAGGAGGAGGAGGAGGGAGGAGAACGAGGAGGAGGAGGAGGAGGAGGAGGAGGAGGAAGGAGGAAGCGGGAGGAGGACAGAGGTGGAGGGGGGAGGGAGGAGAGGGAGATGGGGGAGGAGGAGGGCCAGTACAAATACAAGACGCATCAACGATATTTCAATAAAGCCTCCCTGCAAAATCCATTTTTCAGAGGACCCTACACGATTTTTATTCTCATCACTGGAAATGGCCCATGATAAGGCAACCGTCTGAGAATCCTCAATCCCATTCACCTCGAATCAACGTGACAGCTGCGCCTGGGCAGTCCTAAATCGTCTCCCACAACCATTCCTGGGGTCTCAACCGTACGAATCCTTAAAACTGCTGCAGTTCTTTAAGATGAATGCGCGCGGCGCTCAGGCGAGAGTCGCATTTTTAACAGGGACCGCCATCCACCTTTGAAGCTGGTGCAAGCTTGTATGACGAAGGCTCGCGGCGCTGAGGCGAGAGCCACATTGTGAAACCTTGGCAGCCCTCCATCTTTGGAGTTGTTGCAAACTTGTATGGTAAACGTGCGCGGCGCTGGGCCGAGGGCCACATGTTGAAAACGACCCGCCCTCCGTCCGTTAAGCTGCTGCTGACTGTTGAGACGAATGCGCGCGGCGCTAAGACCAGAGCAACCTTTTGAACAGGGACCACCTCCATTGCAACGTGTGCAAACTTCTATGACGAATATGCGCGGCGCTCAGGCGAGAACCATATTTTGAAAATGACCCGCGCTCGGTCCTTGAAATGGCTGCAAATGGTTAAGACGAGCACGCGCAACACGATGGCGAGAGACACATTTTCAGAACCACCCGCCATCCATCCGTAAAGCTGCTGCGCCAGAGGATCGTCAATCAACCGCCTGGCCCGCCCTACCAACACGTCGGGGGGGGGGGGCGCCGGAGAGAGGAGTTTTCTTGAAGGAGAAGGGATGGAGGAAGAGGAGGTGGAGGAGGATGGAGGAGAGAGAGAGGAGGAGTGGGAGGGGGAGGAGATAGGACCAGTGCAAGTTCAGAACCCAACAGCGATGTTGCAATAAACGCTCCCTCCAAGTTCCCTCTTTCACAGGTCCCCACAAGTATCCGTTTTCACTGGGAAGTGCCCGGTTGGAAGACAACCCGTTGAAAATTCCGAATTGTGCCGCAGCACCGCTCCTGGGATCTCATCGCCTCGGATCAACGTCACCGTTGCGTCCGGACGATCCTGAATTGTGCCAGAACACCATTCCTGGAACTCCAATACCGCGAATGAGCGGAACTATAGCGCCGTGTCAGTCCCAGATCGTGGCAAGACGTTGTTTCTATGACGTCAACCATTAGAGTCCTTGGAAGTGCTGGGAGCTCTCAAGACGAATGTGCGCGGTGCTTAGACGAGAGCCACAGTTTGAAAAGGAACCGCCCTCCATCCGTGAAGCTCTTGGCTGCTGCAAACTTTTAAGACAAATGTTCGCAACGCGTAAGCGAGAGCTACATTTTGAAAACGGCCCGCCCTCCGCGAAACGGCTGCAAAAGTTTAAGAGGAATGTGCGCGGCGTTGGGGCAAGAGCCACATTTTGAAAGCCACCCGCCCTCAACGCGCGAGAATGTTGCAAATTCTTCGATTGAGGATCATAAATTTCAAGGAAATCTCAGGCGAAACGCCCGCCCTCCCTACCAACAGTTCTCGGGGTGCGAGAGGGAGGGGCTGCTTGTAAGGAAAAGGAACGGAAGAGGGAGGAGGAGGAGGTAGAGGAGGAGGTCGAGGAGGAGAGTAGGAGGAGGAGCCGGAGAGAGTAGGAGGGAGGAGGAGGACGACCAGTGTAAACCCAAGAGTCACCAAGGATGTTGCAATAAACCCTCCCTCCAAGCCTCTCTTCATAGGCCGCTACAACGGTTTAGTTCCACTGAGGGAATTGCTTCGTTGGAAGACAACCGTTCGAAGACCTTGAAGCATGCTAAAACATGGTTCTCGGGATTCCAACGCCACGGATCAACCTGACTGTTGCGTCTTGACGATCCTGAATCGTGCCAGCACATCATTCCTGAAACGTCGACACCGCGAATCAACGTTGCAACCTGATAGTGATGAACCCGTCCAACATATCATTTCTTGTACGCTGATCATGGGAGTCCGTGACACTCTTGCAATGCTTACAGCAAATGCGCGCGGCGCTAAGGCGAGAACCACACTTTGAAAAAGAACCGCCCTCCTTTCGTGAAGCTCTTACAGGTTTTAATGACGAATGCACACGGCGCTAAGGCGAGAGCCATATTTTGAACACGGCCCACCCTCCATCCGTGAAGCTGTTGCAAGTATTTCGGGCGAGTTCGCAAGGCGCTAGGGCGAGAGCCACATGTTGAAAACGGCCTGCCCACCATGTGAAAAGCTTTTGTGATTGTTTGCAACAAGTGCGCGCGGCGCTAAGGCGAGAGCTTTCATTTTGAAAACGACCCGCCCTCCGTCTGTGAGGCGGTTGTCATTGTTTAAGTTTCAGGGTCATAACTGGTGAGGAAGTCTCAAGCGAAACGCCCGGCCCGCCCTAAAAATTTGCCTCGGGATGCGACAGGGAGAAAATATCTGCAAGGAAAAAGACTGGAGGAGGAGGAGGAGGAGCAGGAGGAGGAGGAGGAGGACGAGAGGAGGAGGATATTCGATTTAGATTGGACGATGCGCTGCGCGCTGTTCCAAAGAGTTATTTTAGCTCGTTGACTTCCCTGGCCAACTCCCTGTGCCCAGGAGCTCAACCCTTATCGAGCGCTCGCAAATATTTAAGCCCTGTCCGAGTTGGGGCTCGAGGGAGGAGGAAGAGGAGGGGGAGGAGGAGGAGGAGGAGGAGAAGGAGGAGGAGGAGGAGTAGGAGGAGGAGGAGGAGGAGGAGGAGGGTGAGGCGCAGACGAGAGCTGAGGAGGGGAGGAGGAGATAGCGAGGCAGCGCCTCGCGAACCCGAGCGTCTGGGGCGGCAGATCGCGCACTGGAGCGACGGCGAAGGGACGAGGTAGAGGCCTGGCGTCGAAGACCGAGGCTCGAGGATCAAGGTTCGAGGTTCGGGGGGCGAGGAGCGAGGACCCAGGATCGAAGATTCAGCTTCGAGGTTCGAACCCCTCAGCTTTGGGATATGCAGCAGTCTCGGGTATTACAACAGTGAGAATCCCACTCCTGATTCTCCTTCCTCCTTACAATCCTCTCTTCTTCTGCCTTTCTTCCTGATTCCCCTCCCCCCTCCCCTCTCCAAACACGCACCTCACTTCAGCTTTACAGCGACCCACGAAGGAATCACTAAGGTCGTCTTGCAAACCATGTGCACGGAATCCGGGATGTCCATCGGAGAATTTGTTGAAGTATTAGAACTTTTGCTTCACAAAGGGATTGTGCAGGTGCAGAGGAAGCGGAGAAGGAGTAGGAAACTGAGGCAAAGGGACCGGCAACATTTCCCAACGGGGGCTCCCTTTGACCTCCTAGTGGTTAAAGACACAGCTGTTGAAGGGTTTGTCATCGAAGAGCGGACACGGAAGCGCAACGGACCGCAGGCCTTGGCAGTTCCTTCGATAAGGTGTCGAAAGGTTGTCGAGTCCTTGCTGCATAACACTCACGCAGAGGAATCACGCATACCCTCTACACTGCACCTTCGCGGGCGCATTGACGGTGACCCCCTCATGCGGATCCTGTCCTGTCCTCCGTATCTTCCTCCTGATCCTTATCTTCATTGTCCTTCTCCTTCTGCTCATCCTCCCCTATTCCCCCGTTGCTCCCCCTTCCTCCCCCCTCCTCCTCCACACCACCATCTTTATCACCATCATCACCGCCGCCCTCATCATCACCATCAGCACCACCACAGCCACCACCACCATCATCATCCTCATCATCATCGCCATCGCCATCATCATCATCAGCAGCATCGCCATCGTCAACATCATCGTCACCATCATCATCGTCAGCAGCATCAGCATTGTCGCCATCATCATCATCATCATCATCATCATCATCATCATCATCATCATCATCATCATCATCATCATCATCATCATCATCATCATCATCATCATCATCATCATCATCATCATCATCACCATCACCATGCTCCCCCATCTCATCCCCCTTCGCGCCCGCCTGGACATCTGCAGCTTCTCGGCTAGAACAATCGCGTGGCTTTCCGGGGCGGGCGCCTTCTGCAGGCGTTCGCCCATTCTGCCATCGAGGGGGCTGGGGCGCTGCTGTTCCAGGGCCTGCGAGCCGCCCTCTACGAGCGGTTCGTGGGCCAACCGCTCCATCAATTGCGGACCTCAGTGTTCCCTCAGCGGGGGCCCCGTGGTCCGCGCAGGCCAATTCGGGCGGCGGGGGGCATTGCCCGCCTGCCCTTCGAGCTGCGGCTTGCCCCATCAACTGCCTTGGGTTGGCGGTGGATCTGACCAGCGGGGTGACTCCCTTGCTGCGTTCGACGGTCGTGGCCTTGCTCGGAGCCACTGCCGTTTGCAGCCTCCTCGGAGGCTGTTGTATCGGGGCCTTCGCGGCCCGTTGGCGGGGCATGACGGGCCTCCCTCGCGCGCGAACCACCATCGGAACCCTCGCCAAGCGCGGTCGCGGCGCGCAGCGCGCCCTGGCCTACGGCCCGGGAGTGCGGGCTGAGGAGCGCGCGCGGGCCCTTTTTCAAACCGCCCGCAGTTCCCTCCCGAGGCTGGCACTCGCGGTAGCCAGCCATGTCGACCGCTGGTCCGGCGGCCGTGGGGTCTGCAATCCCCGATGGGCCAGTTTGGCCCGACCTCCACCCCTCCCCCGTCAGCCACTCGCCGGTCCTGCGACGCGCGCGCGGTTTCTACAGTGCCTCTGCAGCCGCCGCGCTTGCCGCCACGGCGGCGACCTGCCCCCCCGCGGGGGCGAGCCCAGGGCTTAGTTTAGCCCGTCTTCGTGCCCGTCGCATTCCTTTCATGCGTGATTTTCACTTGACATTTCCTCACCTTGATCGGCGCTCGAAGTCTGTCGGCGCCTTCGAGTTCTGGTTCGCGGGGCGTTCTCGCATCGCTCTTGCCGCGCTTTATCGCAGTGGGCTTTTGCTCGCGCGGTTTCGTTTCATTTTCGGCGCGTGGCTTCGCGATCCACTACATATTAGTGCGTGCCATTCTGGCCATTCAAGCTGAGCGCCCGCACTGGCGTGCTGCCTGGGATTTGGCCAAGCAGTGGCAGTTTGCTGAACATCCCGCGTTCCGCCAGCCTTTGCCTCGCGCCCTACTTCGGCCGATGATTGGTCTCAGCTTGCTCTGGGACTGGCCGCGCGTGACAGCTTTGCTGCTGATGGGTTTCGCTATGTTCCTCCGCCCTTCTGATAGGTTGGAGGCCAGCGGCGATGCCTCCCCTGCCATGAAGGCGCCGAAGACCCGACGCACCCATCCGACGCAGAACGCCCGCTGCTCCGACAGGTCGTCGGTGAGGCTCCCGGAACTGGTGTTCCAGCACTTGCGTTCCACCGATCCTTTTGCGCCCTTCGGGTTCTAGAGCAGCTCCCGCTGTCGTTGGAACCATTTGATTTCGGCCTTGGGCGTCTCCAATGCGGCCTGCGGGCTCAACCTCACTCCTGCCTGTTTGCGAGGTGTAAGGGCGACGGACTTCTATATGGCCACCGACGACGTTCCTCGCGTTTTCTGGCGTGGCCGCTGGAGCCAGGCTTCTAGCGCTGAGCGCTACCTCCAAGCCGCCGCCGCTTCGTCCGTCGCGCCCGCCCTTCCTGTGTTACCTCGTGCGCGCGCTGCGTATTACGCTGCCGCTAGCGACCGCCGTGTCGTCTCCTTTCTTGGCGTGGGCCCTTCTGCGTGGTCCACGCAACTTTCGGCCGCCCGCCAAAGCCGTGCCACTTCGCGAGTGCTTTGACCATGGTCATGGCTGGAAGCGCTCGTCAGCACGCAGGAGATCATCTCCCGAGCGGCGCCGCTCGGCCCGTGCGCGCGACCGGGAAGTTCGGGCCATTTGGGACCCCCCCCCCCGCGCGCACAGGCCGCGGCCTCCGCGCGAAGCCCGGTCGCAAGCGCGAGGCGGGAGTTGTTTTTTCTCTCCCCACATCGCGCCCGCCTGGGTTTCTGCAGGTTCTCGGCCCCCCTTCCTCATTCCACCCTTTTCTCTACCAAGGTTAGCGGCGCTGGACGTGCTCGTCAACGCGCAGGAGATCATCTCCTGAGCGGCGCCGCTCGGTCCGCGCGCGCGGCTGGGGGGCTCGGGCCTCGCGCCTTTCGGGCCCCCCCTGGGCGCGCCGGCCGCGGCCTCCGCGCAAAGCCCAATCGCAAGCGCGGGGCGGGAGAATCATCATCACCGCCATCCTCATCATCGTCATCATCACCAGCAGCAGCATCCTCATCATCACCATCCGTTCCACCTCCATTTCCAGATGCCTCCAGATGGAGAGCGGGGAGCCCCACGTGCTACCAGCGGGATTCTTCACACGGCTTGACGAACGAGATGTTCAAGCCTCTTAGGCTGTGAAGCGCCGCCGTTTCGACGCCGCTTCGGCGCCGCAGTATCCTGCCTCGCCGCCGCCGAGCGAGAATGCACAACCCGGTTCGGTCGTAACGACCGAGCCGGGCCACGCATGCTCGCTCGTCCATTTTCATCGTCATCTTCAGCCCCCCCCCCTTCGTCATCCCCTTCTGCCGCCCCCCGCCCTCCCCTTTTTGTCCTCGCTAGCGCGCCTGCCGCGACACAGGTGCCGCGAACGACACCCGGCCGAGGAGGACTGCAAGATGGCCCGGGAGAGCCTGCTCAACAAGGTTCGGAGCCGGACGAAGGGGGGATATCCCCAGGATCTCCGACAAGATTCAGAGGAGGGACATAGACCACCGCCGACGGTTGCCCCTAATTTTCGAGAGCTGCACTGCAGCTACAGCCCTGAGAGTTCCACCATGAGACGTGCCATGATCGATTGTAGGGAATCGCTGGGAGCCGGCGGTGAACCGTCAACCAAGTTACCGCCGGAACCCTCGTAGAGCTCTCAACACGAAAATCAGTGCTCACCGAGAAACAATCCATGAGTGTCGGGCCTTTGGGCGGTGGCACGCCTGAGCGTCGCATTGTATTGGGGCGACGCTTGGGCGTGCCGCCGCCCAGGGGTCGACCCCCCTCTCACAGGTTCTCGGCTGTGGCGGTCCGCGTTTCTCCTCCGCGATATGGTTGTGACGGCTGGCTGTTTTTCCTCGGCATCGGCTCTCGGGGGCCGCTTTCGGGCCCCAGGACCATCAAAACGCATCCGAGACGGAAAACTTATCAGTGGGAGTGGTCAGGATTTCTGGTGCCGCAGATTGGATAAAAAAAACAGACCGCCAAATGTCAGTGTTTGAGAACGAGGTGGTCACGAAATGTTATGCATGCCGTTGGTGTCGGCTCCGTCGCTGAGCGCTCAAAACGTGAGCGCCGAGAGACGTCGGGGACATCAGCTACGTGAGTTGATTCGCCAGCCCCCCTTGGCCTATCCCCCACTTCGTGCGACCCGAAAGGCTTGCCGCTTCGGCGCCAACTGCAAGCGCAAGGATCTCCGCGGGCGGTTGGAAGAATGAACATAACATGAATTGGAAGTTCGCGCGTATTCATTGGATCGGCGCCGGTCCCCTTAGGCGCCCCTGCCGCCTTCCGCGCGCCACGTGGGGGGTCCAACGCCGATCCCAGAAATCCGCGGGGACCTCCGGATGTTGAATATTATGTTGATTTGTTGGCGTTTCGCGCCAACGGTGCACTAGCGCGGAACCTTCCATAAAGGGCCTCGCCCCCGAGAGATCGAGACGCTGGAAAGGGCGCGTTCTGTGGACGCCGGGAAGGGGGTGTGGTCGAACCATTGGGGGGCCCCCCCAAATCCCCGGGCTGGGTGGGCTCGAGCTGGGGCGGGGGGGGGGCCTTCAAGGGCGGGAGGGGGTTCGACCCAGCCCTTCCACCCCTCCCTGAATTGCAGGGGGGGGGTCGAACCCCCCCCCTCCCCTCTCAGGGTGCGACCGACGACGACGATCGAGCCTGGGTAGGATGCCATTGAGACTGGATCGAGCCCCAGTAAGATTCTGAGAGAGCTGGACCGAGCTCTAGTAGGATAATTTCAAGTAAGGCTTGCTCCAGCCATAGTGGGATTCTATGAAAGCTGGATCGAGCCTTAGTGGGACTTAGTCGGGGGGGCGCCGGTTCGACCCCCCACCCCCTTTCAGGGGCGGTGGGGGGCGGTGAGAGAGGCCAGAGTCTGGGGTGGGTGGGGGAGCTGCTTCTCCAGGCGCTTCAATTGTGCAGGGTGGGACGGCTCAGTTCCGACGTGTCCAGGGATTTGTTCCAAGCAAGCATCCACGAAACGCGTTCCCTCAGACGCTGACCCATCCTTTCCTGCGGAATGCGGAAGGTTGGTGGAAACCGGCGGAAGTAGAATTTGCACCCCGAATCAGTATCGTCTGATTTCTCCCCATCCCCAGTGGGCCGAGGTGGGGATCGATGCCGCGAAACCCGACAGAGATTGTATCGATCCCTACTTGGAGCCTAGAAGGGTAGTCGGACCGTGGGCGAAGGCTTTCCCAGAGGGGATGGTGATAGGGAACAGGTCTAACAATGCCATCCCAAAAGATGTAGAGTGGCCCTGGCGCTCGATAGTGACGTCTTCCAGACCCGCCAGCTCTTAGAGATCCTCGTCTAGTCCTCATCAGGGTCCCAGGCCGCTCGCGGTGGCGCAACTATGATGGCGATTCGCGCGTCGCGGTCTGGGCCGGAGCGGCTGCCCTTCTCCAAGGGGGCGGCGCGAATCTGGACGCCCGAGATGGGTACTGAAAGAATGGGTACTATGCCCAACTGCAGTTCCTGTTCATTTTGAACAGGATTTGCTATCCACGCCGCCGCGGCCTGTGCCCATTTGAGACAGAGGGCCGCCTGCCCAACAGCGGCCGCTGTTGGTTTGGGACATCATTTGCTGTTGGGCATTGTACCCATTTGTTCGGTACCCATTTCGGGCGACCAAAGCGAAGGTGAGCGGGCGCGAAGTTAGGCGGCCCAGGAATCTGTCACCACTCTGCGCGCGTCATGGATCGTGCTGTAGCTTCGGGGCTCCTGGAGCGGGGCCAGCAGGGGCGCCGGGCGGGAGTGGGCGGGGCCTCCGCCATATGTTCGGAGCGCCAGGGCTGGCCGCTTCTGCGAGTGACGGCCAGGTCCAAATTTCGGGCGGTGCCAAAACCGGGGCATACTTACCGTCCCAGAGCGTTTCGGAACGCTCTTGGAGCGCTCTGGGACGGCAGCGGCGCCCAATTAAAAGCACGCCCTACTGAATTGCGCGTGCGTGCTTTTGGTTAAGGCTCTGGCGAGTAAGTTGCATGGCGTTTCGCCTCCCCCCCCCTTCCGCCGCCTTTTCAAACAGCTCTGGACCGAAACGCCCCATGAGGTCCAGATGTCATTTCGTGCCTCGCCACGCCCATTCTTCATGCAGGAAAACTTGCTGGAGTCTAAAAACAAATCGTCTCAACATTCTTCAGAGCCGCCAGGCCTCCTTTCGAAACGAGACCAAGGAACGGAAACGAGACCAAGGAATCCCAGGGAACCACGGCCCAACTGCGTCCGGCACCCACTGGATTCTTCACAAACAACTAAAAACCCTTAGGGAGACAACGAGTTTGGGAGAGATTGCCTCATACATCCTTCTGAACCGCCTGACCCCAGAGATTCCAGATCTGTTCCTACCCAGTTTTGCCCCTGTCGTGGCCTCGTCTTGCCAGAAGCCCTCGTCTTCACTGGTGTCGCTCCCAGGCCTCGAGCGTGTTGGATGCACATCACGGGCGAGAGCCCAATGCGTATGCGGCCAGATGTCTTTCCAGCCATCGGCCCTTCTGTGGCCGTGCACGCCGGGATTCCGCACGTGCATCCAGCGCGGGGCCTCCAGGTGATCCGCGTGTGAGTCCAGCAGTGTGCATCTCCAGCTTCCTGGAAGAAAGGTCTTTCGCGGGGACGTCGAGAAACGACTCGGGGTGAGAAGCTGGCCCTGGCAGAAAGTGTCGGGACTCCACGCGCACACGCGCCAATCCTGGCTAGGCCTTCGCCCTCGAGGATCGAAGGACTTGGCATCTCTTCCTCGGCGGAAGAGCGGCGCAAGGCGGCGGAAGTTAAACGAGGCCGCCTTCGCCGGCGGAAGCAGGCAGAAGGGCGGGGGAATGTGACACAGGTACAATATGCGGCCCCAAGAGACGACAACATGTTTGGGCTTAGGGTTTCCGGAATCGGCCACATGATGAGTGAGTGCCACCAGGCTCAAGGCTGAACGCCGCTCAGCCGCGATCGCTTAGGCACCAAAGCGCAGGTGGTCACGACACGAGCTTGCTGTAGACGCCGCCCACGCGAGGCCAGGAGGGTGTGTCCGCGGATCCGCTGTGCCCCCAGGATTGTATATTCAAGCACCCGGACAAGCGCTGACGGCGCGGCAAGTGCTGACGGAGCGGGAGGCGATGCGCCGCGGAGCGCGAAGGAGGCATCAAGCCAGCTGCTTGCGTACAACATGTGGGCGCGCTCCTCTCATTGTCCTCATCCTCTGATGCTTCTCGCCATCATCTGCATCAGGACCACCGTCGTCGCCTGCATCGCCACTCAGCATGGTCATCGTTACCGCTCCTCCCCCTTCTCGCTCACTCGCTGACTCACTCACCCCGCCCCTTCAATGTTGAACGATAGTGGCTCCCACGGGCCAGCCTTTCCCTCCTGCGCCGTCTCTAGACGGCCCTGGAGCGCGAGAACGGCTTCCGCGTCGGTCGTCGCTTATTGGGTGGCCAGCAGCGGAGTGGTGATGATGTGTAGCTTGTCGTGCGCCTTCGAGATTCCAAGCCTGCCCTTAGGGCCTAGGGTTACTCCAGGGCCCCTTTCGTACAGCCCTCAAACGAAGCGCCCGACCGCGACGCCGAAATGGCGAAACAGGCCCGCACCAGAACTGTCTCCAGGGCATCGGAGACCTCGATCTCTGTGCCTGCCCTCCTGCCCCTCCCCGGACCTTCCCTCTGACGGCCTTAGGGTGGTTTCGGGCGGGGCCACGACAGGGACGAGTCGTGTCAGAGCGTTGAAGAACGTTCCCAGAGCGTCCCAGGGCGCTCTGGAACGGCCGCGGCACCCGATACACCCTCCAGAACCTCTAGGCCCTAGAGATCCCGGACTCAGCTATGTCCGATGTTGTTCCTGTCTTGGCCTCGTTCCCTGATAGCGTTTCGCTGGAGGGCTCTGATACAGGTAAGAGATACCACTGAAGAGTCCCACAGGGGCGACGGAAGCCCGAGACCGCCCGGTCCCGAGGCGGTCCAGCAGCCGTTTCGCTTCAGACTTCCTCACAATGAATTATGGAAGAGTGTTCTAGTTTCAATGCTGGATACATGTTTGATCCAGACGGCCGCTATCTTCTTTGTTAACAATAGATCGAGGTGCGCATGGCCGTGTTGTTCCCCCATATCCTAAGGATTGGGGTTCTTGTTCCCCATATCCTAAGGATTGGGGTTCTTGTTATTACTCTGACGCCTCCCACTCCTCCTCCTCCTCCTTCTTCCTCCCGCTCGCGCCTCCCTCCTCCCAATGATAATCACCAGATAAGACAAGACAAGATAAGATACTACAAGATAAGATAAGATAGCACAATATATGATAAGAAGAGATTTCAAGATAAGATAAGATAAGTTAAGCTCACACTCACACTCTCTCATGATCACAAAACGCTGCCAGGGGCATCATTTGGGAGCCCCAAGGGGGAGCCACCCTGGCTGATCTCACGAGCCCGTTCGCGCCGATTTTGGTGGGACGTCTCAGCTAGAATTGCCGTTTGGCGCCCCCAACATGTATCTCTTGAGAGCCTCATGGTCACAAAACGCTGCCAGGGGCATCATTTGGGAGCCCCAAGGGGGAGCCACCCTGGCTGATCTCACGAGCCCGTTCGCGCCGATTTTGGTGGGACGTCTCAGCTAGAATTGCCGTTTGGCGCCCCAACATGTATCTCTTGAGAGCCTCATGGTCACAAAACGCTGCCAGGGGCATCATTTGGGAGCCCCAAGGGGGAGCCACCCTGGCTGATCTCACGAGCCCGTTCGCGCCGATTTTGGTGGGACGTCTCAGCTAGAATTGCCGTTTGGCGCCCCCAACATGTATCTCTTGAGAGCCTCATGGTCACAAAACGCTGCCAGGGGCATCATTTGGGAGCCCCAAGGGGGAGCCACCCTGGCTGATCTCACGAGCCCGTTCGCGCCGATTTTGGTGGGACGTCTCAGCTAGAATTGCCGTTTGGCGCCCCCAACATGTATCTCTTGAGAGCCTCATGGTCACAAAACGCTGCCAGGGGCATCATTTGGGAGCCCCAAGGGGGAGCCACCCTGGCTGATCTCACGAGCCCGTTCGCGCCGATTTTGGTGGGACGTCTCAGCTAGAATTGCCGTTTGGCGCCCCCAACATGTATCTCTTGAGAGCCTCATGGTCACAAAACGCTGCCAGGGGCATCATTTGGGAGCCCCAAGGGGGAGCCACCCTGGCTGATCTCACGAGCCCGTTCGCGCCGATTTTGGTGGGACGCCTCAGCTAGAATTGCCGTTTGGCCTCCCCAACATGTATCTCTTGAGAGCCTCATGGTCACAAAACGCTGCCAGGGGCATCATTTGGGAGCCCCAAGGGGGAGCCACCCTGGCTGATCTCACGAGCCCGTGACGAGAGAGAGAGAGAGAGAGAGAGAGAGAGAGAGAGAGAGAGAGAGAGAGAGAGAGAGAGAGAGAGAGAGAGAGAGAGAGAGAGAGAGAGAAGCGAGAGAGAGGGAGAGGAGAGAGAGAGAGAGAGAGAGAGAGAGAGAGAGAGAGAGAGAGGAGAGAGAGAGAGAGAGAGAGAGAGAGAGAGAGAGAGAGAGAGAGAGAGAGAGAGAGAGAGAGAGAGAAGAGAGAGAGAGAGCGAGAGAGGGAGAGGAGAGAGAGAGAGAGAGAGAGAGAGAGAGAGGGGGAGTTGAGAGAGGAGACAGGCGAGAGAAAGAGAGAAGAGAGAAGAGAGAGAGAGAGAGAAGAGAGAAGAGAGAAGAGAGAGAGAGAGAGAGAGAGAGAGAGAGAGAGAGAGAGAGAGAGAGAGAGAGAGAGAGAGAGAGAGAGAGAGAGAGAGAGAGAGAGCCGGACAAGTAGGCGGACCAGGGTCCGTCCGCGAGGCGCACTGCGGTGCGACAACCCGCAAAACACTATTAGCGGCGGTGCAGCCTTAAGATACGAGGGCGGGCAACAGACCCCCTCCCCCGGCGCATTGCGTCTGAAGCTACGGACGGCGGACAGACTGTGAAGATCTCACGTGTCAGACCGCGTGACGAAGAAGGCCCCAACAAGAAAGGCGACGTGCGGACACGTGGCTAGGCGGCTTGGCAGACCGCCAGTTGGGCGCTTGGCCGCAGCGCGGCGCGCAGGGACGGGGCACCCCCCGCCCCCACGCCCTGACACCGTGGACGCGGGGCCACGCGTGCACACGGGCAGGCAGAATGGCGGAGATTAGCGCGGGGCTCCAGGCGGAGCGCCGCGGAGCGATGACAGCATAGCATGGAGGGTGAGTGGCGGCGCAGCACCATCGGGCGGGGGTGTAAGCAGCTCGGCGAAGGCACGACCGGCGCGGTGGAGGCGCTGGAGCAAAGAGCCTTGACGGGCTTGGGCAGCGGCAAGGTCGGCGGCGAGAGCTGCGCACCTCTGCTGGAGAGCGGCCGTAGACTGGGACAGCTCGGCTTCGCGGTCGGTGCGGGGCGGCTGCTCTGTGCCCGCGGCCGCGGGCCTCGCGGCGGGGACGAGGTCATCGGTGCGCCTGGCCAGGCGGTGGACAAGCGCGGCGCGGCGGTCCGTGCGCTGGCGGCCGTCGCCGCGGCGAGGCGTCTGGAGGGTGTCGCGCGGTCCCAGGGCTGAAGCCGCTGGGGCCACGCCCCATGAGGACGGAGGAGCCGCAGCCTCGCAGCCTGCAACAGTAGGAGCGTGGACGGGGCGCGACGGCCTGACTGGCTCAGTGCCCTGCGGGGGGGCTGAAGCCGCCCCCGCGGGCTGGCGCTGGTGGGGGGACGGGGTTGGTGGCACGGAGGGACCAATCATGATGCCGTGCGAGGGCTCAGAGGTCGGCCGCGTGACCGGGTGGCGACTCGATGAAGCGGCATCGTCGGCAGCGTGGGGTGTCGGCGGGACGTCGTCTATGCTGCCACCCAATCCGAGGGGATCATAAAAGTCCTCGTCGGCGTCTTGGAGGTGAGCGACGTCATCATGTGGGTGCGGTGCCGCTCTCGGTGGCGGAGTCGAGGTGGGCGTCGTGCGGATGCCCGACGGGGCAAGGTTGGCGCTGGCTGGCCCGTCGTCCAGGAAGTCTAGTCCCCCGCCGAAGCCGAACGGGTCGTCCTCCTGTTCGTCGTGCATCGCCCGTTGGGCCTCGGCCCAGAGCTCGTCCGGGTTCTGCGGGATGTCTGGTCCAGCCGCGGGTGGTGCCTGGTCCGACAGCAGGGGGTTCGGTTCCATTTTGCTGAGTTCAGCCGCTGTAAACCCAGCCCTGCGGTGTGGGAGCGGCAGAGTACGGTGTCTGCGCTCGTAGATGGCGACAGCGACCCCGTGAAGCACGGTCGCTTGGCGATGTCGTGTTTTGGCAGCTTCAACGATGTCGTCGGGGAGGTTGTGCGTGCGTGCCGCCGCTGTGGCAAGGGCGTCGGCCTGACGGTTGAACTCTTCCGCGATGGGCCCGATGAGCCCAAGGTCGATGCCCAGGTCTCCCAGGTGGCTGGCGACTTTTTCGACGCGAAACATGTCGGGCTTGGCCATGACACATCGGTGAATCATTGCCCAGAGCTCAGCGTGCGTGCCCTGCGGCGCTGGTTGTCCGTCGATGATGCTTTGGAACCCATCGACCACCGCCTGGTTGTCCACGAAGACGTGCACGGGCCGTTCGGCACGCGCCGTAAGGTGGACGATGGCAAGGGTCTCCGCAATCTGGGCGTTCTGCGTTAGGCCGTGAACGCGTGCACTGTAGTTCATGCGGTGGTCGATGCCGTAGTAGACGCCGTAGCCCGCTCGTGCTAGGAGTGGGATGGCTTGGTTGGTGCACGCACCGTCCGTGGCAGCATAGACCCATGTCCATCCAGTGTCGTTGTCAAGGTAGGTGGTGTAGGTGTCCTGGGCTGAAGCCGCAGGATCACCCTCAGGGGGGGGCCGCGGGATGGGCTGTGGCAGCGGGTCCCTCGCGAGGTCGGCCTGCAGGTCGAGGAGGGCTGGGTCTTCGTCGAAGAGCCCGCAGTGTCTTGTGTGCGGCGGAAGACGGGCCCACTGGTCGTCACTGATGAGGGTGGTGAGAGGAACTCTTTCTCGGGCCCAGCACTTACAGTCGCGGACAGTGTGCTCCTGAGTTTCCTCTTCCTCGTCGCAGTAGCGGCACATGGGGCTGGGGTCTGCCGACGTGTTGGATCGGGA